GTGGGCATTTATGCGCGCCTGTGCTGCACCATTCTGTTTTATTGCTATATCTTTGTTAACTTTTGTCCATACGCGCCTTCAATTATATTTACTATCTGGACAAGTCGCTCTTTTAAATGAATGACTACGTCAAGGTGAGCCACAAATTAATTTCTTTATCGTTTATTTTTTTTTTTATTGTATAAATTCATCACTTTATGTATTCAAATGGGCATTTTTCAGTTGATAGGCCGCTGTTTCAAGGCCGCTTTAATAAGTTTAGTGCCGGAGATGCCAAAAACCATTGATAATGGAAGACCAAACAGTTCGCAATCATATCTGTCTGCTTTCATGCTTGTCGAGTTTCTTATCAACATTGCTAGTAGTTCCAGTATGTGTGCATTATATATATACCTTACACNTTTCGATTGCACACAATTGTAAGATTGATATATTATTTTAGGATAATCCCCCCCCCCAGAATACGGTATTTTGTGTTTAATTAATGAGAAGCTTCCTGAATGCGGTTCAACGTTGTTTCAAAGAGAACACTTTGATCAAGTCATATTTATCTTTGTGGCACGACAAGTTTAATACTAGCCTAATACATATAATATGTGGTTATGCGTACGTACATATTTTGTTTGTACTCACGGTTGTCATTTCTTGATTCTTTTCAATCAAATGATGTTCGCAATTGCTCTCGTTGCGCTCTTTCTCTTTTTCTCTCTCTCACTCTCTCTCTCTCTCTCTCTCTCTGACTCAGCAACTCACTCACTCACTCGCTCGTTTGATCGTCGCTCGCTCACTCGCTCGCTTACTCTCTCTCTCTCTCTCTCTCTCTCTCTCTCTCTCTCTCTCTCTTCTCTCTCTCTTCTCTCTCTCTCTCTCTCTCTCTCATCAGATATTACAATTTTCTTTCTTTTCTTTCGTTTGCGCTTCTACCGCCCTACCGCCATCTCTTGAAAGCAGGAAATGGACACATTCTTGGACTGATTTATATATATATATAAATAATATCTACAAAGTAGTTCAGGGTTTTTGATGATAACTTGTATATATACAGGATGTCCCAGTATGACCGTAATATTTCTCGTAGGTAGAAGAAGTAAATCTGAATCAAAAAGTCCTACGCCATTTTTTTCGATTACCTGTAATAAATGAGTAATTATTGAATAAATCAGGCCAATGAGCGGCGACCTTTAGCCGGGCGCACGCGAAGCACTTATGCATGCTACCATGCGCGCGGGTCACTGACGTGGCGCCCGGCTAAAGGTTGGCGCTGATTGGCCTGATTTATTCAATAATTACTTCTCTATTACATGTAATAGAGAAAAATAGTATAGGACTTTTCGACTCAGTTTTACTTCTTCTACTTACCTACGAGAGATGTTACGGTCATACCGGGACACCCTGTATATATAAAAATGATCATCGAGAATACGAACATTTTGTTGATATGCTCAGAAAATGTCGAAATGAATGACAGTCAATGTAGTTAATCAGTTTTCACATATAATTCTTCTGTTATTTTGTTTGAACTGTTTCAAAAAGCCAATTCTACATACTATGCTTATTAGTACTATATACTATAGTTATACTATATATACTATAGTTTAACTTATATAACAATACGACGTCTACACTACAAAATGTGTGATATCTTGAAAAACTTACTTTTTCAAAAAAAGGTAAAAAAAAGGCGCCAAGTACACGCACAACACGTATCGTATTGTACTTTATTGTATTAAATTGACTTAAATTAAAAATTTTAACTCAAATGTTTTTCTTCATTATTTATATAAAAAAAAGTTTATTTTTTAGTACTATTTTATTTGTTACTACTATTTTATTATATACTACAAAACATTTCTTTTCTACAAAATTTGTTCTACAAAAGAAGTGATATCAAAATGTTGCATCAAGTAAACTTTTGTACGTTGTTATATTATTAACTCAAACTGTTTTCTTTATTATTTATATAAGAAAAACTTAGATTTTAATTTAGTATATACTAGCAAACCATTCCTTTTCTACAAAACCTGTTTTACAAAAAAACAATTATTTAAAATCAAAACTATTGAGTGCAAAAAACTTGGCGNGGCTGCACCGAATACGGACAGACGTTTTTTATGCGCGCGCGCGAGATATTTATAAATTATATACAAGAAGCATTAAAAGACACGATAGTGCCTTGGTTTACATTATATTAAAAATTAATTTATATGACTAAAATAAACTACAATAATTCCAAATTTTTAGTTTATTATTTGAAGTGCAGCCGCGCCAAATTTTTTGCACTCAATAGTTTTGATTTTAAAAAATTGTTTTTTGTTGCATGCAACATCATTTTCATTTGAGTGGGGAACCATTGAGCAAAACTGGTGCGGTAAAGCATGGAGTGCGTGTAAGAACTGATACAGCACCCATTAACGTAAAACCGTATCGCCCACCTGAGAAACATAAGAAGGAAGTAGATCGTCAAATNCNGNAGATGTTAGATAATCAAATAATAAGACAAAGCAAGAGCGAGTGGAACGCACCACTACTGGTTGTACCTAANAAGATNGACGCCTTGGGTGTCAGGAAACTCCGAATTGTCGTCGATTTTAGGAGGTTGAATGATGTTACTATCGGTGACTCATTTCCGTTACNAAATATCACGGAAANATTGAATCAANTNGGTAACGCGAAATATTTTTNAACGCTAGATTTGGCATCAGGATATCATCAGATGAAANAAGAAGATAAAAGCAAAACAGCATTTTCAACACCCTATGGTCATTACGAATATAATNGGATGTCGTTTGGTTCAAAGAATGCACCCGCGACATTTTAAAGACTAATGAACGNAGTTTTAACAGGGTTGCAAGNAGTCAAATGTTTTGTTTATTTGGATGACATTGTAATACACGGAGCAAGCTTGGAGGAACACGTAAAGCGAGTAAAAGACGTGTTCAGTAGATTGAGGGAAAATAATTTAAAATTACAACCCAAGTGCGAGTTCTTTCGCAAGGAAGTTACGTATCTCGGGCATAGAATTACGGAAAACGAGATCTCACCTGATCCCACGAAGGTGAGTGCAGTGAAAGGTTTCCCCCTCCCGAAAAAGATTAAAGAGGTACAGTCATTCATCGGATTAGCCGGTTATTACCGAAAGTTCATTGATGGATTCTCAGAGATCGCTAAGCCATTGACCAAATTGTTGTGCAAAGAAGCAACGTATGAGTGGGGTCAAGAGCAGCAGTGCACGTTTGAAACATTAAAAAGTAAGCTAAGCGAAGCACCACTGCTGGCATACTCGGTCTTTACAAAAAAGTCTATCGTCACTACGGACGCGTCGGGTTACGCTGTCGGCGCAGTGTTATTGCAAAGAGAAATAGGTCGCGACAAGCCGATCGCGTACGCAAGCCGGATATTAAATAAGGCAGAGCGGAATTATAGTACCACCGAAAAGGAGTTATTAGCCATTGTATGGGCGGTTACGCACTTTAGACCGTACTTATACGGAACTAAGTTTAAGATTGTTACGGACCATCGAGCATTAGTATGGCTGTTTAACGTAAAAGACCCGAGTTCACGACTTGTACGCTGGCGTTTAAAGTTAGAAGAATATGAGTACGAAATAATCTATAAGAAGGGAAAGGCTAACACGAACGCGGACGCGTTGAGCCGGAGCCCGGTGGAGACGGCGAACATGTGCGAAGCAGAAGAGGAGGAAAGCGCGATAACGGAAGCAAGCGAGACACGTGAGTTAACTGAGAAAGAAAAGAAACAGGTGCTGTATGAATATTATGATGCATCACTTGGAGCGCATCAAGGAGTAGCGCGCACGGTGAAGCAGATTCGTAGAAATTACGATTGGCCGGGTCTGACACGAGATGTAGAAAATTATATCTCGAGGTGTGTATCGTGTCAAAAGAACAAGTTAACCAGAAGGTATAAAGCGCCAATGATAATTACTGACACGCCGTCAAAGCCATTTGAAAAGTGTGCTTTAGATATAGTCGGGCCTTTGCCTGTAACAAGTAGTGGAAATAAGTATTTACTCACGTTTCAGGATAACCTTACAAAGTTTAGTAAGGCGAACCTGTTCCGAATCAGGAGGCCGCGACGGTTGCAAAAGAGTTTGTGACAAAGATAGTATGCGAGCATGGAATACCAGGTACGATCTTGATAGGGGTAGAAATTTCGTGAGTGATTTATTTCGAAATGTATGCAAGTTGCTACGCATCAACAAGGTGCAAACCACGGCGTATCATCCGGAGAGCAACGGAGCTCTGGAGCAATCTCATCAAACACTAGCCGAATATATTCGACATTATGTAAAGGAGGACCAGACCGATTGGGATGACTGGGTGCCGTACGCCATGTTTGCGTACAACACAACTCTACATTCAGCTACTGGNTTCACGCCGTTCGAGCTAGTTTACGGACGTAGTGCGNAATTACCNACAGCATTAACNAGACCGCNATCCGTGCAGTACGATTTAGAAAACTATGCTCAGGAATTNAAAGANCGTATCAGAGCGGCAAATNGGATGGCNAAAAGAAATTTAAAAGAGAAAAAAGAAAGGGCGAAGCAGTACTACAATAAAAANACNAAAACATCAANTTTTAAAGTAGGAGATAANGTGTTAGTCTATGACAAAACACTTCGCAGANGTAGATCAAAGAAGGTAGAATCCATGTAGATAGGCCCATATGAGATTGTAGCNAAAATGTCANAAGTTACTTATANTATTAAAGCAAAGAGACGCACGCAGAATGTGCATATAAACAGGTTGAAGGCCTTTATTGAAAATTAAAGTTTACTTACCAAAGGCGTTTTACTTTGAGTCAGATATGGTAATGACAGGGGGTGAGACACGAGGTGGGGGTCCNAGACACACCACCTCCGGGTCCTGCGCTGGAGACCAGGANTCGGGGNACGGCGCCTCCNNGTCCGGCGACGCAGGTGGCGGGGGTCGCGAGGTCACGAAGATTACCTCGTCCAAAGAANTGGAGGCGGTCCTCNGCGAGGCTGGCGGGTCGTTGGGCGGTGNACCTTTGGGGGTGCGAGGTGACACGTGNACTCCCGGNTCACCATNANGTGCGGTAACAACGGGCACTGGTGAACTCCGCGNCAGACCGCGTGACCATGCAACCATGGCGCAATGATTGCACGGNNGGCGCNTAGCGCTTTTGCGATGTCGGCATGTAGACATGACACAGTAAAAGGAAAAACNCGAACTAGGTGTGTCGGTGGTTTACGAGANACTGACACTNGTCGTGAGGAACCGTGCTTNGGTGTAGA